CCTAAAATTCATCCCCTATTGAGTTATCCTCCGGACATAGAGACGGAAGTTGCATGCAAATCGACACACACACACACACACAGACACTATCTACTATATCTAAATTTCTAATGTCCGTCCGCCCGCGTCCAGGAATTCAGCCAAATTCCGCATTCAAATTTCAAATTCAAATTTTGGGTGGAGAGGGCCAGCGCTGAACCCCCGCGTAGCGGGGGGTCAGCGCTGGTTTTTTTATATATAGTAGGATCTAATTAATCCCGTACTTTTATGATGCGCCCATTTTCAGATACCGTTCATTCGATGGAACTTGCAACAACATTGACCGTCCGCTAATGGGCTCCGCTTTTTCGGCACTGATGCGTCTCAAGCAGCCGGCCTACGATAACGGAATCTCGGCTCCAGTCTGTAAGTTCAACGACTGTAGACGGAATTTTAGACCGAAAGCGAAGAATAATAAAAATTTTAATTTTTCAGCTTCGTTCACCCGGACTCGACCATCGGCTCGTGAGGCTTCACGACTTTTGTTAGCGTCACCATCGCAGGTTGGTGACGTCTTAATTTGTTAAACGTTTACACCTTTTTAAATTTAATTTTTGGCTTTTTGAAAATCTTGCGGGGCATACGATTTTCGTAAATGTGCTATACAATCTGACTTTTCCAGCTGACACACCGCTCGAACGCCTTGCTGATGCAGTGGGGTCAGTTTATCGCCCACGATGTCTCGAAAACCACCATGCTCAACAACCAAGTGAGTTTTTCGGGAGCTTTTGCATTATCGGGGGGGGGAAATCTTTAGAGCAAGCCACAAATAATATCAATATAAAAACTATGGTGGGTTTTCTACCGAAATTTTCACAATCTTCTAAGTTTTTTAGATAATTTGCACGTTTGGAATACGGCTAGATTTTATTAAAAAATACGATTAAAACAATGATTATCACATTGCTAACAATTGCTGGCTTACAGCAAAAATTCTGTTCTCCCCACACAATGTACAAAAACATCGTCCAACCTTTAGGAATGCGCGCAATGCACGCCAGCCGGCGGGAAATGCTTTTCCGTGTTCCTCGCCCGGAATGATCCGACGTACGTTGTAGTTTCGGTTTTTAGCTGGTTGGGCTCCTTTTAGCTTCGGTCGTTTCCTCTGCCTTCCGGTTGCCCGTTCTACTCCCGTTTGTGGAAGTGGGCAAGATTCGCCGCGCGAGCAGTACAACGAGAATACCGCCTTCATCGATGGCTCTATGGTATGGTAATTTTACGGGTAAAAACGGAAGTTTTTAGATCTATGGTTCATCGGATCGTGATCAGTTCCTCTTCCGCCAGGGCGCTTTTCTCAAGGTGTGTATAACTTAAACTTAGTCGATAATTTGACAGATAATTTAATTAAAAAGGTGATAGAATATTTCTCCTTTTTAGACCCGAGTCGTCCGTTCTCGCGTCTTCCCCCCGATCGACACGAACATGAACGTTGTTGCTGGAGATGACCGGGCGAATATCTTTGTCGGACTCGCCGCCCTTCACACCATATTTGTTCGTCAACACAACAAGTAAATATCTTGAAAATCAGACGTAAAGACCGTTTCAGAATTGCCCAAACGCTCCAGAAAGTGAATAGCCACTGGGACCAGGAGCGCGTTTTCCACGAGACTCGCAAAGTGTTGGGCGCTATTTTGCAGCGGATTACTTACAAGGTAACTTAATTACTAATACTCGTACGCTATTTTTCAGATTTTTACCATCTTTGTAAGCATCGAAAATTCCCAAAAATCATTAAAATCATCGAAAAATTTGGTCAAAATTTAGTGTTATAAAAACTCTAAAAAATTTATTATGTTTTGGCGATCAAAAGCTATTAAAGCACGATAATACGCTAAAATTTTTGCTTCGTTCGGTCCCCCCCCGCTAACAGCCAAGTACTGATTAAGCCGCCGTTTTCTAGGAGTATCTACCGCGCGTTCTTGGTGACGAATTCGAGCGCTGGATCGGACGGTACGAGGGTTACAACGTAAGTGTCATTTTTATTTTATTATATTTCTTTTTCTTGACCTAATTTTACCACCTGTCCTTTATTTTAGGAAGATGTCGACTCGGCCGTCGCCAACGAGTTCACCTCGTGCGCCTTCCGGTTCGGGCATGGCATGATTCAGGTAGGCTCCGGATTTCCAAGCTAATCTTTGCTAGCTGTAACAGAGAACGCGGATTGGATTATTTGCTCGGGCTCAAGGTCCAATTCCGGGAAGAAGCCGGTTTACGCGGGCATTATTTCCAAAGTCGTTTTTGCGCCCTCTCGTAGCCACCGGGGGTCGAATAGTTCACGCTCCATTAGAGGCATCGCCCAAAAAAAGGCGGTGAGCCAGAGCGCCGTAGAATCTGGATGGTATAGGGGCACGTAGGGATGCAAAAATTACGGAATATAGGACTTAAAGAAGCATTCGCCTCACAATTTTATAAAGTCGAAAAACCTGGCTCATTGGTTTTGGGTTCGCCCGCCGCGCTCAAGGCCCGGGTTCGACCCCCCGCCGTGACACGATTTTTGCTTTTTCGTCAAAAGCTGGGAGTTGAATGTTTCTTTAAGAAATTCATGTCGTAACCAGCCAACTCTTTAGGAATAAAAAAAATCTTTAGGAATTCTACCCATTCCTCGACGAGCGTTTCCGTCAAATCGGTGGCATCCCGTTCACCGAGGGAATGTTCAAGAGTACCCACATCATCAATAATGGCGTTGACCCGTTGTTGAGAGGGATTCCTAACACTATCCGCGAAAATGCCGCAAAGGTATGTTACGGAAAGCTGACAGAACCCCGAAAACCAGGCCCTTTAGCGTTATCGGGGGGCTATATAGGCAGAAACGCCTCTTATCGTAGTAGTAAGTGTTTCAATCATAGGTTTAGTAAAATTTAACGAACTGACAAGTGAAAAACTATCTAACAACCTTCGAAAATTGGCCATTTCCGGTTGGAAAATCCATTTTTTACACATTTTTTCCGGAAATTTGAACTTTTTACGTTAGGAATAGTGGGAAAACAGTTTAACACTTATGCTTTTCACTAGGAAAATGAAATTCTAGGGAAACGTTGCTTCCCCCAATAATGCAAAAGCACTTAACTACTTCAAGCAGCATGCACAGATGGGAAATTCGAAATCAAAACCTCAATTCCAGATTGGCCCTCGGCGTCACGGAGCGCATCTTCGGCAACTCGGATCTGGGCTCGATCAACATCCAACGCGGCCGTGATCACGGTGTTCCCCCATTCACGGCTTGGCGCAAATTCTGTGCTCTCAACGAGATCCGGGACTTTGACGACCTCAAGATGACCATCAAGAACCCGGTGTTGGTCGACAATTTGAAGTTGCTGTACAAGCATGTTGGTAAGTCGCGTAGAATCATATTTTTGATACGTATCTTCGAAACCCTCGATTTTTAGACAACATCGACATGTACGTTGGCTCGCTGCTAGAAGACCCGGTACCTGGCGGTCTCGTCGGCCCGACCCTGTCCTGCATCATTGGCGAGCAGTTCAAGCGAAGCAGAGATGGAGATAGGTCAGTTATTATGGTTAAATTGCATTAAATCTTTTAGATTCTACTTTGAAAACCCGAAGATATTCACTGGGGACCAGTTGCGGCAGATTCAGAAGGTGACGATAGCACGTGTACTGTGTAATGCCGGGGATCACTGGACCGAGGTAGGTGTATTGGTACTGGACAGTTAACGGGGGGGAGCTATATCGCAATTTTCTAGTGTCTAGTGCATTTTTATAGCGCTTTCATTAGTTTTTCAGCGTTAAAAACCGTAAAAATATTTTTAGAAAATTGGAATTTTTAAAAATTTGTCTAAAATTCAGTTTTTCGAAGATTTAGAGGCCTTTTTATGAATTTTTCACACTTAAAAATCGCATAATAAGTAGTTTAATAATAGTTTTGTTACCAAAACAGCCAGAAATCTATTTAGAAATTTTAAATACATGAATTTTTGCGATTTTCCCACATTTTCGAGCAAGAATTAATTTTTTCAAATATTTTAATATTTTATGAACTTTATATACCTAAAATTGCGAATCATAATGTATAACCATAATCATAAATGTGCGTGAAATATACGCTAAAATTCTGCCCATTTCAGGTCCCACGAAAAGCCTTCGACACGTTCAAGCCAAACGACGATGAGCTGTTGAGGTGATAGATTTTTTTTACCTGAATTTTTATCCATTTTTCATATAAAATTGTTATTTTTATAATTTTCTATATACTTATATTTCTTTACTTATCTATTTTTTTCAGATGCGACGAAGTACCCGACATTGACTTCAACGTGTGGCGAGAGGAGCTCTAAATTCTAAAAACGCCCTGGAATTCGTTGCCCACTATTTTCTAGTCATCCCCGAACGCCTTACTGCCCCGCTAACAGCATGAATCATAATACCGACAGTCCAAAAATGCCGAAAAATTCTTGACGTTTTTTGAATACTTCTTTCTTTTAAACGTTTATTTTCGGGGTTTTGGTTGTCGACATCCCGGCTGTCCGTATTTTGAACTGTCGGTATTTTGCCGATTTCCCGATCTGTAGACCAGAGAAAGAGCTAATAATTAGTTTTGCTAGCGGTTTTTAGCCTCACAATCTTAACAAAGCCTTCCAAACCCTAAAAATCATTTTTTTCGATTTTTTACAACCTTGGGGACGGTATTAATATTTAGAAAATGCCGCTTTTCAGTTATTTTTTGGATTCTCGCGCCGTTGATCCCCGCGGACTACCTCATTTTTTATGTTAATTTTTTCTGAAACCGTTAATATGCCTGTATATTCTTTGCCTAATTTAACCCAGGGTGCCCCCGAGTTGCCATTTGCCATTCAGATCCGATAAAGATTCTATTTTTTTTTTGTATATTATAGTCTTACAAGTTTATTCGTTTTTGATAGAAATTTGTTTGTATCACAAAATTGAGCATTTGGTGCGTTGAGAATTGGAAAATCCTATAGGGGAATTTCCGTGTGGTATTTAGGCAGCCGGGTGGGCGGCGGCCGGCTCGGCGTGGTGCTCGACGGCCGGCTAAAGGTTTTTTGTTATACTTAACAGTGGGGGCCTCCTAAGACAAGAAATGCCTCAGAACGCATAATAATTCTTTTAATAGTATTTTTAGTAAAATTTAACAATATTTCAAGTGGAAAAACTATAGGAAAAACCTCAAGCTTTCTAAAAATTCAAATTTCCACCGAAAATCGACCCTTTCCGTCAAAAAACGTATAGTTTTTTTTGTGCTTCACCTCAATATTTGTAAGGTTTTTACCCTTATAAATAGCTAACAGCTTCGAATTGTTTCCTCTATAAGGAAAATCAACTTTTAACGACTAAGTTTCTATTAACTAAGTTTGACTCCTCTACCCGTAATGCAAAAGCACCAAAGTTTGAAGTAGAAGCTACAAGCTACCGTTTCTGTTCTAAATTTTTGAAAACCTACGGTATCGTGGGGTGCAATAGCGGCCGGTTCGGCGTGTGCCTCGACGGCAGCGGCCTGGTCAATGAGAGCCTGCTCGGCGGCGGCCAGTTCAGTCTTTAGCTGCTCGACGTACTGTAAAAATATGGTATAGAGTTTCGAGGCTTATTTTAAGAGCCAAAAAAATTTCACTCTACTTAGCTTTAGAAGAAAGAAATAAAAATACCTGCTGGGCGGTGACCTGGTCCCTCTGCTTCTTGCACTCCAGCTTGCACTGCTCGTATTGGGAGAGGACCTGGAAATTATAAGCTTAAAAAATCGAGTGTGAAACCTTAAGGCTCTTCGGCTTGATCAATCGCTGCTGGTGGTGGACGGCGTCAAGGGGTGCGTGGTGTACTCCGTGGCTGGCAGCGAATGGGCACAGGGCTGGGGCTTCCTGAAAAAAAACGAGCTTTTAAAGAGTTGTAAACACATATTTTCGGTACTGTACTGTTATAGAGGGGAAGCAGTACGATAACGTTTTTAACGCGAGAGTACTCATGAACGTTTTTGTAAAAATTGCCAAAAATTCGATGTTCGTCAAAAATACACTAACGTTCAAAAGTTTAACATTTTAGATGCTGTATAAAGTTTTTATGGCTTTCCAGTAATAAAAAACTTCAGAAACGCAATTAAAATACAATACACCATAGCACACGAAAAATTTGCTATAGATAGCTTCCCACCACCCCCCCGTAAACAGTCCAGTACCAAGTTGTCGATATCTGTTTTCCATCTGGTATGCCCTTCATTATCCAAACGTATCGTTGGTCCCCCGCACTTGACGATGGGCCCCCAGTTTCGTGGGCCCCATCGGGTTCCATTTGGGTGCCCTCCAGAAAGGGAGGTTGCGTGGCCGGTAGCCCTTTCAATTACCCTCCGAAATGCCCCCGGAATGGCCGAGGGAGAAGCCCTGGAGGGCAGCCCGTTTCGCAATTGCCTTCTCCGCCAAGGAGAAGGCAACGAAAAAATGGACCTCAAAGCGACGTTGCCATTCATCTCGACCCCCGGCCCGCGGAACTGGTGGCCCTTATATCGACCCATGGGAAACGCGGGGGAACTGCATAACGGCTCGGTCTTTTGAGTGGGAAAATTGTCTAGGCGGTGCTTGCATAAGAAGTGTGTGACTTTTGAGGTGTTCCTGGGAGAATCAGCTTTCGGGAAACGCTAAAACTAGGGTGGAAAACACCCTAGGGTCTTTTCCAGCTTCACCTTTCCGTTTACAACCTAAATAAAAACCAACTGAGAAAAGGGAAAGGCTAATCACGGTACTGGACTTTTAGCGGGGGGGGCAGCTAGCCTAGCCTATCTCTAACAAAATTTCCTGGGTCTTCCAAATGGTTTTTGATACAAAAAAGGCAGAAAACGGTTCTAGAAATGTATCAAATTGTTTCAGACCGTTTTTGAGCAAATTTCAAGATAGAAAATTTTAATCTCTTTAGCAGCTTTTATTTCTAAGAACGCTTAATTTCTTGTAAAAGGCTTCTTTTCCTCTTAAGGTATCTAGACATAACGTAAAGAATTGGGTTCTCCCTCGTTAATGAACAAGTACCGAAACGTTTATGAGGAGTTTCTGGTAGTCCAACTTCGACAACGCTCGGCTTCTCTGAACACCTTAAACTAGACGCTCTAGACATTGTTATCATTCAGTTTTTCAAATCCTACTAGCCCTTGAACCTACAGTTTTTAAAAAATACACAGAATAAACCCGAGACCGTCTGTATTCCCATGCATACAAGGTGCTAAATTATCCCTCCCACCATGCGTCAACCGACCCCCTCGGGCAATAAATACCCAATGTGCCCTGTGCCTACAGCCCAACCCAATAGGAAATTGTGGCCACCACCGGGCCCCGGGGGGCAGTTGTCCAATCGCGGTCCCCCGGATAATCCGAGCTGATCCCGGCGAGTCTCCCCGGATTCCGCGCCTAATTGTGCCGCACCGCTGGCCAAATACACGGGAAAATCTGGGGAAAAGGCGGCGGCTATTACATGTATAAAAAGGCATGTGATCCGCGCCAAGGCTCCAAATCCCATCGACGATTAGAAAAACAGGTTTTTGTAATGGCCTGATTGACGTAATTAGGGGCTAAATAGTCGTTTTTATATATAAAAAGTATGCACTTTTACCTCAAATTACTACTTATGATGCTTTTTAGTAAATAGTTTAATTTAATGCCTCTCATTATACAAAAATTCAGACCAGGCGCACCTACCATTTGCTAGGTCAACTTTATACTTACAACGTTAAGATAAAATATTGATTAATGCAGCGTAAGTAGTAATTTAAGGTATCAGAGCACACTTAATAGATGAAAAGAGTCGTTTTAGTGTCTAAATACTTATAATTAGGGCATTATCTAAGCCGACGAATCGTTCGATAGTGTTAATCGCCATTAAAAATACCTCATGCACGGGCTCCTCGACAGCGGCCTCTTCCGGCTCGGCCTCCACCACGGGTTCCTCAACCTAAAATGAGCATAAAAGTTTGTAAAGTTAAAACCTACAGCCTTTGCCTTCTTCTCAGCCTTCACCTTGGGCTCCTTCACCTTCTCGGCCTTGGCGCCCTTCTTTCTGAAACAGACACGTTGGTAATAATCTATCCGACTTTCCCCCCAGCGGCTGTCAACCTGACCCCGTTGCCGCCGCGGCCTCATAAATGTGAAAATGAGCCGTGGGGACCCACGGGGGAACACTAGCAGACATGCTCGAAAAAGCGGGGCAGACCCGCCCAGGTGTAAACTGACCCCTTGGCTTCCTTGCCGGACTTCTTGGCCGCGTCGAGGGAGGCGACGAGGAGCAGGCCGATCAGGGCAATGACGAAGACTTTCCTCATTTTATTTTCTGAAATTGGCATGTTACTATATTGATAATATCTAGGCGAAATAAGGTTAGCAGGATTGATCGCTAGTCAATTTTATTGCTTTTAAATAAGCGTCCGAAAGGCTATAAAATTGGGATGAAAGTTCAGAGCTCCGCGTCCGGAAATTCGAAGGGAGGGCCCGCGGGAAATGCCGGGGTTGATAAGGGTCGCATCCTTAGGCTTGCTGCCTTATGTAGAGGCCGATAAGGAATCGCTGACGCAAACAGACAGTCACACGCTATAGGCCCGAAATAGAAGTGTGTAGCTGCTACCGGAAGGCAACAATGAAAGAGGGAATAAATTATTTCTTGAAATCTGATGATTTAATGCGTTTTTGGCACCCATGAACGGCTTGAAACCGTTTGAAATGCTGACGTTGAACATTGTGCTCACCGACGACATTTCCAAAATTTTCACGAAATTTTACGAAATTTTTCTCTTGATGATATCCCGGCCAAACAGAAGTGTTTACTCAATTTTTGCTCTCCAAATGGTCAGTTCCGTCTTCAAAAAGCTGCTCTACCTCCATTTTCCAACAATCTGCCTCAACGCTGCTTCCAAATTTCCAAACTTCACTCAGAAGTCCACGTCTCCTTGCGCTTATCACCGGTAGCGCCCGTGCGTAATCTGTGCAGCATCGCGCCGTATTTCATCCGACTACTGGCAGGTTTGACCACCATGAAGCCTCCGCGACCCACGCCCGGCTCAAAGTTTGCAGATAATCCCCTAAAGCGACTTTCCCAGCAATGTGTGACACGTCAGCGTAAAAGCATTTATTCAAAAAGCCCAATTGGCAAAACGCATGAAAAGGAATGGCGACGTATAAATTAACAATAAGCCCATAGAGACACAATGGCAGTTTATTCGTGGTCGTATTCTTGGTTCGTGGCATCCATATCCAGCTCTCCACCCTCATCATCGGCTGTCGCCTCCTGAAAAACGGAATAAAAACTTGCCACAGCGAATTTGGGGAAGTCTAACTTCCAAAATTAGTACCAGCCAGATAGATAAAATTACCTGATATTGCTGATACTCGGAAACCAAATCGTTCATGTTCGACTCGGCCTCGGTGAATTCCATCTCATCCATGCCCTCGCCGGTGTACCAATGGAGGAAGGCCTTGCGCCGGAACATTGCTGAAGAGCAAATCGTAATCATCAAAAAACGATGATTTACCAGTGAACTGCTCGGAGATGCGCTTGAAAAGCTCCTGGATGGCAGTGGAGTTTCCGACGAAGGTTGCGGCCATCTTGAGCCCTCGGGGCGGGATGTCGCAAACGGCCGTCTTGACGTTGTTCGGGATCCATTCGACGAAGTAGGATGAGTTCTTGTTTTGCACCGACATCATCTGGTCGTCAACCTAAAGGAAAATTTTTAGTAGGCGAATTCTATTTTGTCTGTGCCCAACCTAACCAAAAATTCCTCAAATTCATACCTCACGCATGCTCATACGTCCACGGAACATGGCCGCAACGGTGAGGTAGCGTCCGTGTCGTGGGTCGCAGGCGGCCATCATGTTCTTGGCGTCGAACATCTGCTGGGTAAGTTCGGCGACGGTCAGCGCCTTGTACTGGGCGGTTCCCTTGGCGGAAAGCGGGGCGAATCCAGGCATGAAGAAGTGAAGGCGAGGGAACGGCACCATGTTCACGGCCAGCTTGCGCAGATCGGCGTTCAGTTGTCCGGGGAAACGAAGGCACGTCGTCACACCAGACATTGTCATCGAGACTAAAAAAAATCAGTATTAGAAAGGTAGTTTACCACCTTAGCATAGGACAACGAACAGAGTAGGTACAAGAAAACTTTGCTAGAAAAACGGGCTCACCTAAATGGTTGAGATCTCCATATGTCGGGTTGGTAAGCTTGAGTGTGCGGAAGCAGATGTCATAAAGAGCCTCGTTGTCGATACAGAAAGTCTCGTCAGTGTTCTCGACAAGCTGGTGGACGGAGAGAGTAGCATTGTAGGGCTCTACGACCGTGTCAGATACCTGAAAATACATGTTAGATACGCAGCAACGGGGGCAGCTAAACAAAAAAAACACGACAACCAACCTTCGGCGAGGGCACAACCGAGAACGAGGACATGATGCGGTCAGGATATTCCTCACGGATCTTGGAAATCAACAGCGTGCCCATTCCGGATCCGGTACCACCTCCGAGCGAGTGGGTCAGCTGGAAGCCCTGCAGACAGTCGCATCCCTCAGCCTCCTTGCGGACGACGTCGAGGACGTTGTCGACGAGCTCGGCGCCTTCGGTGTAGTGGCCCTTGGCCCAGTTGTTGCCGGCGCCCGACTGGCCGAAGACAAAGTTGTCCGGGCGGAAGATTTGCCCGTAAGGTCCCGAGCGGACCGAGTCCATCGTTCCCGGCTCCAGATCGACAAGCACGGCGCGTGGAACGTATTTGCCACCTAAAAAAGAACAGATGTACTAGAAAAATGGCTTTGCCAATTAGACAAACTTTTCAATCAACGAAAGCAAAAATTTACCGGTGGCCTCATTGTAGTAGACATTGATACGCTCGAGCTGCAGGTCGGATTCACCCTTGTATTGGCCGTCAGGCTGGATGCCGTGTTCGTCGGAGATCACCTCCCAGAACTTGGCTCCGATTTGGTTGCCGCATTGGCCAGCCTGGAGGTGGACGATTTCACGCATGATGGAGAGGCTGAAATGGTGAACTATTTTACGGCTCTCGAGTACAAAGCAAAAACACGCCGAATAGAGAAGAGTTTAAAATAAGAAATCCTGACAGTTCATAGAATTGAATTTGATAGAATACGTGCATAGAATGGATTTACATCCCAAAGCAGTGCTAACGCACTTAAGGGGGGCAAGTCCGGATTTTGACTACGAAGCGCTCCAAAGGGCGTTTTTTAAACTCTAATCCGCTTGAAAAGCAAAACTATGCCCACGCCTATAGGTTTAGCTTCCTATAGATGAAGCCTGAGCTTAGCTTGAGCCAAGCGTAGGTTAGCTCTAAGCTAAGCCCTAAATGACTCTATTTTGACCTCGTAAGGCGATTTAAAGCTTAAGATGAGCTGAGCTTCGGCTTAAGCCTAAGCCTAAATACCAAGTAGCTTAGGCGGAGCGCCTCGCAACCTCTTACTACCAATCTCGGACTGCCCCCCCGTAATTGCATTAGTACCCCCAAAGCTGTTGAATTGCGAAATTGGAATCCCCTAGATATTATTCAGAATGGACGTGGCCCGAAAATAAATATCGATATGAGAATGGAATGGAGAGGGGGCGCGAGCCATGTCATTAGGTTGCGACTAATACGGCCTTGAGTGGATGTGGTGACCATCTGTCCGGGGTCATGGGCCGAGCCTGGGCAAGCCCTCCAGGCATCAGCTAAGGATACAACGATCCGGGATTGACACAGAAAATGCATAATGACGTGTGGCGAATAATATTCGCTCAATAAAGGGCGGGAGAGGAAGATCAGAGCTTCCCCCTAAAATGTTGTCATAGCTACGGCGTTCTAAAGTCAAATCTAATCTGTTGCTCTTAATAAAGTAGCCGACAGCAGATAGCTAGACCTTTGGCAGACAGCCAATTTGAATAAAAACGCGCAGCAGCACCATTTATTTTCAAAAATATTCTGGTCAGCAAGACAGGCCCATTCCGGAAAAAAACAATCCAAAATCCTGCGTACGAATAAGCAATCTAATAGCACAGGACCCCGATTTGAACGGATAGGAAGGCTGGCGGAAAGAAGCATTAGTCATTGCGATATGGGGCTGGGACCAAGGCCTCGGGGACCCCACAAACAAAGAAGGGTCGCCGCAAATGGGGATCGACCCCGCCTCGGGCGGAAAGGGGGGGGGGAGGGTTGGCGGTAGAGGAGCGGGACTGAGGAGGGTATGGGTGGGGAAGAGGCGGGGAACGGGGAGAATTTGAATCTACACACAACACAGCGCAAAAAAAACCAGGTCCAGCCGCCGCCGCGACAGCCCAATCGATCCCCTCGGCTCGCAGCCGGCAGGTCGTGTTCAAAGTTAGCGCGTTTTCCCGCAAATGCTAGGGTAAGGTAGATCATAAAACTGGGTGCTAATGCATCTAAGGAGGGGCAGTCCAAAATTGCTAGTAAGAGGTTACAAGGCGCCCCGCTTAAGCTACTTGGTTTTTAGCTTAAGCATAGGATTAACTTAGCTTTAACTATGCTTGGCTTAGGCCTAAGCTTAAGCCCAAGCTAAGCTCATCTTAAGCTTCGAATGGCCTCACGAGGTCAAAATGCGGTCATTTTGGGCTTAGCCTAAAGCTAAGCTCAGCTTAACTCAAGCTAGGCTCAGGCTTCGGTTGTATGAAGCCAAGCCGAGGCTTAGGCTTAGCTTTGATTTTTCGGAGGATTTGCGTTAAAAAACAGCATTTGGAGCGTCTCGTAGTCAAAACCCGGAAGTCAAGAAAGCCACAAAAAAATAAAATTTCTATCTCAAACTGAAAATTTTTAATTTTTACGACAAAACAAACTGAATATGCTGGCTTGTCATCGCCCTCTGCGTCAGAAACCTTATCTTATAGCGCACATCCGGCGCCCCCAGCAAAGAGAACGTCTTTTCGATGCTATTTCGACCGGTCCCGGTAACCCAAATCATTAGGCCGAACAAACAACTGTTGATGATGGGGTGGCTCTAAGTAGAACACGGTCTCCGCTCAAGTGAATCAGCCTAAAAGGGACGAGTCGGTGGTGGATTGCCCCCGATTTCCAAGGCTGCATCGCTCCGCACAACCTAAAACCCCTCGAACCTCCGATCGGCGATGCGTAGTATTGTATTGCTTTTATTATTTCCGGGCTTGTTATTCGCACAGCTGGGCGCTTTTTACTCGTTATTTGACGATGCTGATTATCCAAGCGACGAGCAGCCACGATCAAGAGTGAGTGGGGGAAAATCAGTTGCGCCAAAAAGGAGAAACGAGGAAAATAAGGCTAAAAATAAGGTTTAAAACACTTCAGGTTGTCTCGCGCGTCGTAAGCTCCCAAAAAGACCCCGATTACCTGGATCGACAGCAGCGAATTGTTACGGATCTCGGGAAAATCGTTGGCCAAGTGAGGGATTTGCCATAGAGATCGGTTTCACCTCCAAATTCCAGACAAATGATCTATTCTCAAAACTAATGGGCGTGATAAAGGATGAGGCTACGGCAGAGGTTTCCGACCAGGCAAAAGTATCTGACGATTCGGTCAAAGATGTGATTTTTTGCACCTGATCTTTTTAGAAAAGTTTCAGAGTAACCGGGAAAGAGGCTCAAACACTGGATCCTCAACCGTGAATCGTGTCTTTAACCTCTTCGACACGATCAGCTCGATTCCGTTTCGCAATCGCCGTGTTTCTGGGTTGGGCATATGGCGAGGCAGGGGTGGTGAAATCAGCTTTTAGCGATCACGTCTGTGTGCGCGAGATCACTAGCCGATTGACGGCCACGGGAGGGAGGAGAAGTTCTGAGCATTCGTGTCAAAGGTAAAACCAGATTTCGAAATGGACTGCGTAAGTGGTGAAACTTCATTAAAACGCTAGAAAGATAGTTTTACTTGCCCAAAAAGTCTGGGTACTGAACTATTAGCGGGGGGGGGGAGTTACATGGACAAAATTTTTGGCGTTTTAAAGTGTATTTCGATAGGTTTTTAGCCGTTTTGGATTACTAAAAAGCCACAACCACGTTTAGAAAATTTGAACTATGAATATTAGGCGAATTTTACACATATTAACCAAAAATCAACTGTTTTGGAAATGTTTGTAATTTTTCTTAGCTTCCTATGCCTAAAATGGCGTAAAAATAGATCGATCGTGTGTTTTTGCGTATTTAGCGGGACCCGATTGGGCGATAGGGCAAATTCCGCTCCCCCCGCTAACAGCACAGTACCCCAAAAGCACTCCTTCAGATTCCGGAAGGCCCAGAAATGCGTGGAGCGCCGCGAAACGCCGAGCGGCGGCCAGGAAACGGCACGATTGGAGGAATGTTGTGCCGGATGGGACACGGAAGATATTCTGAGCAACGGATGCACAAAGAGCAAGTGGCCCCTCCCTGTCCCCGTGACAACCCTTCACTATTTAGGGGTCGAAATGGCCTCCCTAGAGGATCGGATGCGTCAGCTGAACTATGAGAGATCGGATTACGCCGGGCTTGGAATGGAGGAGAAGCGTAATGCGGTCACGTATTTGTTGCCGAAACGAACCGCGAATATGGCGAGAGCGCCAAAGGTATAGGACAAAAAAAAAGCGTTTTTTAGGTTCTGGTTCGTCAGCGGGGGGGGGTGTAAATTTTTTGCTATTCCTGTAGGCGCCAAAGAAATCTAGAATATTTTAACAGTCTTTTTAGCTTTTTCGGGATAGAAAGTGAGCAGAACGTTGAGTATTTGCGTCAAAACCGTATGAAAAATTCTAAAAGACTTCAAAAATTTCACTTTTTGGAAGGTTTGTAGAATGTTTTTGCTAGTTGAAACTTGTAAAAAAGGCTATAAAAATACATTGTCGGTTATAAGAATAGGTGTTAGGTTTCATAAAGAAGTTATACCTCCCTTGAAATCCCCCCCCCGCTAACGAACCAGAACCTGTAAAATAATTATATAAATGAATAGATAAAGCCTCAAAGGCGTCTAATTTCACTTTTTATTACGTTTAGCTAGCTAAAATACTAAATAACTGAACTTTTAAAACTAGTTTTAAAGCTATTTCCAACTTTTTAGGCCGTCATCCTGCGTGGAATCCAAAAAGACTACGACTGGTCGAACGGGGACGAGCTGGAAAGTATGGATAAGGGGAAATATCATGTGGAACAATATAATGAAGGCTCACAAGTGGTAATTTTTATTTTTTTTAACGTAAACTTCTTTTCTTTTAGATAACTCAAATCAACTGCGCGAAGCTGCTGCGCCCCAACATCGAGGCCGACGGCGCGATAGTGCATATGACTGACGTCGAGGTTTGGTGAAAACGATCGAGGGCAAAGAGTGTGAAATTTGAGCTTCACCCGGCCGAGCACACGCTATTGAAGATTCTGGAGGGAGACGCGCGCTTCAAGCAGTTTAATGGACGTGGGTTTTAGAGCAGAAATCTACGGGTTTTACCGCGCTTCTGAACTGGATTTAGTGCTCAACGACGATACTCGGGAGCTTCTCTCTTCACCAGAAAAGAAATACACCGTTTTCGCTATCCGGGATGAGGATTTCGACAAGATGTCGGATAGTGTGAAAGAACAATTGAAATTGAAGGGCGGTTGTTTGAAAGGTGGGGGTTTTGATCGACCTGTATCTCGGTACTTTCGCATTATCGGGGGGTGTTATCGGGTTCGAATAAAAACAGGGGGAGCGTTTCTCAGCTTATTTTCACTATTCTTAAACGTAAAACCTTTAAAAAAAATTCTTGAAAAATACAAAAATATCGATTTTTCGTCTAAAATGGCCGATTTACGGCAAAATTTCAAAATCGTCAGTTTTTAGATAGGTTTCTATCAAAAATATCCTTAAATTTTACTAAAAACCCTATTAAAAACTTAAGGTTACATTATTAGGCACATTTGGGCTGATTGACCCCCCCGATAATGCGACAGTACCTATCTTTTTTCAGAACTCGTCTACTCGCACATCGTCGAGGGCTCCTACTGCCGAAACAGTCTGCCAAATCAGTTTTTGGTATCGCTGGACGGGGCTAGCCACAAAGCGCAAGAAGTAAGGAAAAAATCTACAGCTATAAATATTATTTTAGTGGGCCAAGAACGGGACATCCTATCTACGAATCGGTGATGCGCGACTTGTTGAAGGGGATTACGTGGCTGAAAACGGAGTTTTGCATGTGGTTGATGATCTGTTGGACGGGGAGCGTCGTGAGCTTAATTTAAAAAATTAAATATTGTTTTAATTCGCCAATTAATTCATATAGAAAATGGTTTAGTATTGACCTGGCGTGATCACCTAAAGGTGCGAGCCCCAGAATTTGTCAATGCGCTTTCGGACTTGCCGATCGACGGGCCGGTGACGATTTTTGTGCCGCCGACCGAATCGTTAAACAGGTAGCTTTATTAAAATATTGATAAAATATCCTATAATTTATAATATAAAACAGTAATCTATTTTTTCAGCTCGAAATTTGACCCTAAAAGCTCGATAATCACCGGAAAAACGTTGGATTTATCAGAGAGCGGCATCGCGTCGGTGCACGACGGCAAGAAGGTCAGTTTATCACAGTTTCAACCTGTAAATTCTTCATTTAGGTATTTTACGGCAAGCCGACACGCCATGTCTCGCCAATTTCGATGAGAATTTCGCTCGGACACTCGCCGCGCAGCTCCTTCAGGGTATGGTTAGAGTTATCTAGGTTTTTGGAGCTTTTGCATTATCGGGGGATTATGCAAAAGCTCCAAAAACTTTATTTAATAAAATAGTGAAGGTGTTTCTGGAACAGTTTTTTACGATTCCTAAACGTAAAAATTTTACAATTTTTTTGATAAAAATAGAAAAATACACTTTTTTGACCAACATTTCAAAGATTTCTAAATTTTTTCGCTACTTTTTAGACGTGAATAATATATAAAAATATATACTTTTTACTTGCGTTTCTTACGTCGCTTGGAATTTCTGAATTTATAAGAAAAATTCCATCCCTCTCCCCCCGCCCCAATAAGGCGAAAGAACCAGATTTTTGTAGGTCGGATGCAGTGAGGTACTTCATGCACCGATCCACTCCTGCAACGCCGCCATTTATTTCGTCAACAAGGTCAGTTCATCTACCTAAAACTCGATTAGGAAAAATTCATAAAAGCAAAAAAAATGCAATTTCAGCCGATTCAAGCCTCTTCTCAAAGTCTCCTCGAATACCTCAGCGGCAGGAAGGATTTGAGCAAATTTTTGGAGCTCATTGAACGCTCGGGGACCGACACGTTATTACGAGGGCATGTAGGTTTTCATTTTCTATTTATAAAAATTAAAACCTGGACAATTGCGCGTTTTCAGAAATCAATTCTTACAATTTTTGCCCCGACAAATGACGCGTTTTCGAATAACGAATTTCGGCGACTATCTGCCAACACGACGCTGAGCGCGCACTTTGTGAAAAGATATATGGTGGATGGTAGGGAAATTGAGGAAATGGAAAAATCAAATCAAATAAATTTCAGAGCCGCTTTGTAGGTCTGATCTCGCGCACGATCCCTCAGAAATCAAGGTAATGTTTTGACGGTCCACATAATCGAGATTTTCGAGTAAATTACAATTCGGTGCTATTCCATTATCGGGGGGGTGAGGGTACAAAATTATTCCACATACTGTTTCTAAACTATTTTACCATTCTTAAACGTAAAAACTACGAATTCTGATAAAACACGATTTTCCGGCAAATATTGTAGGTTTTTGCCAAAATTTTGAAATTTTTGAGGATTTTAGATGGTTTTTCGATTTAATATATAGTTAAATTTTACTAAAAACACTATTAAAACTTAACATTACATTACTAAGCGTTTCTAAACGCATAAAAACTAAATGAAAAAATTTTACTGAATCATACAAAAATATAAAAAACCAATTTCAGGTGGAAATGTATGAAAATCTGGAGGGCGAGGGCCTGACCGCCGAGGGTGATGATGATCATCTAAGCATCGACGGGATTGCCGTTTTGGTTCGCAAAAAACACCAAGATCCGCACCTCAATTTCAGGAGCCGGAGATCGTGCTCTCCGATGCGATTGTGTACATTTTGGAGGGACACTTCCGCCGAAAAACCGACGGCCGATTGGGCGATTCCCGGCGGGTGGTCTCCCATTGAGTTTGCTGAACATTTTTGGCAGTTAGTCAAACGCTGGCTTTGCATGTTAATAAATGTTGAGAAATGTGTTTCATTCAATTCGGTGAGAAAGAGCGCCGAGCAAGAGAGAGAGAGAAAGAGAGAGAAAGAGAGAGAGAGAGAGAAAGAGAGAGACAGAGCGAGAGACAGAAGCAGAGACAGAGACAGACAGAAACAGAGACAGAAAGAGAGAGAGAGCGAGAGAGAGAGAGAGAGAGAGAGAAAGCCAGCTTGTGATGTTGATGTTTTGGCTGCATTTTGTGGGCGTAAGTTGAACGCCGTTTTTTACTTGATGACCTGTCAGGGTTGGCGGGTTTTATCAGATTATTTTTGGGGCTGTCAATTTGGAATTTTCGGGGGGTAGACAGAGGGGTATTTACTGGCAGCTTGAATAGGCTATTTTGTCGGTGCTTTCGCATTATCGGGGGGGGGGGGAGGTTTAATCAGGGGAAACCAACTTTATTTTCGTTCTTATCCGACGTATCTAATATAAAGGGTTTCTGAATTTTACAGACTTTATAAAACCTGAACAAAATAGGTACTTTTGCTTTATCGGGGGGGGGGGTCTTTTTCTTTAGGACCCTAGTTTTCTAAGACAAATAGGAGAACTATTCTAAACTCTTTTCAAGTTATAGGTTTTTAGACCAAAAATAGTCCGTTTTCGACAAAAATGCCGTCCCCTAAAAAGTTTTTAAAGCTTTGACAAAAAACTTTAAATCTTCCTATAAACACAAATAAAACACTGCTAATATGTTATTCGGCATTTGTCGATTTATACAAGATCACCCCCCGCCCCCGATAATGCCAAAGAACCAAATTCCGAATGCATTTTTTAAACTAGTTTTTTTTTACTTAAAATAACGTAAAAACGCTTCTTTTGCTTTTTCTTTGCTTTTTCAAGGTTTAAAAATTTCGAAAACGTGTTTTTCGACTCTATGAATATCGGCTAATCTGTCTCTATGCTCAACCTTGACCCCCCAGGTCCTCCACTCCTCTGCTGGCCGCTTTGTTTGCTGCTAGTTTTTCTCCATCGTGTATCGCCACTCTCTTTCCGATCCACGATCCGTTCACACACCACAAAAACGTGTGCCGACGTTTCGTTTTCACGCCCTCTTTCTTGTCCGGACGCCCCGTTTTTCCCGGTCGCAGCTGCTAATTCGGTCAGCGAATCGACTCGATAGATCGGAAGCTGTATTTTCAAGATGAAAAGCCGGCTGCTCGTCTTACTGGTGAGTTTTAGAAAATTAGCTTCGAAATTTGTTTAAACTTTTTCGGGCTTTTCTATTATCGGGGGGGTGGGATGTCTTCTTAAGACTAGGATGTTTCTACACTGTTTTTTTTTGTTTTCAACGTAAAAGCTTGAAAATTTTATTAAAAAAAATACAAAAGTTGCCATTTTCGACGACAAATAGCCGATTTTCGACAAAAAATGGCATTTTCTAAGTTTTTGGGATAGTTTTTCCGAGTAAATATAGTAGAATTTTCCTAAATACCCTATTAAAACAATTACAATTATGTTATCAGGAATTTATCGAGTTAAATATTGAAAGTTCCGCCGTATTTGGCCATTTTTCATGCATGTTCAGTCAAAAGCCCCCCTTTTGAAACTTTTATAATTTTATACAAGGTTTTCGATAAAACACTATGCCAAATGCTTGCATATATAAATGAAAAATGTTTAAATTGCACTTACTTGACCTACCGCGCCTTCGAAAAATTGCCTGCCCAGCAGCTAACGCCGGAAATACTCGATTTTCCATAAAAACAAAAGAATTGTAGTTTTTATATTAACGAGAATCAAATCTATGCCTCTAGGCGAGCTTCTCCACAGCGTACGCCGAAACGCTGAATGCCACTGCGGCCGTTGAGCTTGATGAATCGGCGAAAAAGCGGAGGTTTTGGCTTGGGTCGTTGCACGGTAGGTGCAAGCATTACACTTTTAACGTCAACAAATCCCAGAAAATCAAAAGCCAAAACACGCAAAATGTTTTTAGGAATGTTGATGGTGGTTGCGTGGATATTTCTGGCGCCAACGGCAAGTATGGCGGCTAGGTGAGGTCAAAAAATTCGCTGAAAAGGGTAGAGAGAGGGAGAGAGAGAAGTAGGTACCGGACTGTGGGGGGGGGAGGGCATTTTTTTCCTCAGAAATCCCATCGCGTCCTATAACGAAAACCGGACCATTTTGATGGCATTTTACACAATTTTTATCTAGAAAAGCGCAAAAATCTCGACAACTTTTAATTTTTTGTAAAAAATGCATGAAAACTACCAAAAAAAAGTCAAAATTTGAATTTTTTAACATTTTGACAGTGTTTTAGCACCTCCTAGCCATTAGACACTACTAAAAACACTAAAAAAAAAATATTTTTATTGTATTATTAACTGGCATACTACAACAGAATTGGCTTTCCAAGATGAAAATCCTCCCCCCCCCCGTTAAAAGTCTAGTACCGACAAGTTTATTAGGCCCAGAATATCAATGCCAAGGGCCATTAATCTGTGCATACGGTAACTTCCAGATATCTACGAAGCAACACCTCCCGTGACAATATTGTCAAGATTCCCAACTGGTTCTTGGTGGGTTCTAGATAAAATTAGGTAAAAAAATCATTGTAGCTACACCGGAATATGAACTACGCTGCCGTGATCCTGTCCGTTGTCTCAATTATCGTCATCTTGTTCTCTCAGGGCTGGAGGTGAGTGGGGTTACGGTAGAAGTGAGCAAAATGGCAGCTTTTAGGTGGACAGGACCATGGCCGGGGATGGCGAAGGATCCATGGGGACCCGGAAGTCTTCATAGTTTGGTGGGTTATAAAGGGGATACTGGGCTGTTAGCGGGGGGTGGCGGTAGGGGAGGGGAAAGAAAGGTACATTACATTCCTATGTACTCTTAACGTATAACTATCTCCAGTTCGGCGCCGTCTCGATCGGTTTGGCGGTGTTGCAGCCGATTTTGGCCTATTTCCGGCCGAAGCCATCTGCCCCTCAGCGTGCCAGCTTCAACGTATGGCACCGAGGGCTCGGCGTTGGAGCCCTGGTTTTCGCTTGTACGTTTTTAACTTAATTTCTGTATAAATGGCTTAATAGTGGCGGCGATGTACCTGGTCGCGGCGCGTTTTGGGAAGCGCTTCTACGCGCCGTCCCAAGTGTGGTTCATGTGGCTCGTCTACTTGGTTGGGGCTGTCGTTGCGTTTATCGTTCTTGAGGTAGGCAAATTAACTTATTTTTAATAATAAATGAAAGATATAATCAATTTAATAAAATAAATGTAACGTAAAAACTTACAAACTGAGAAAAATATCGGGTTTTTTTTGAACAAAATGTCTGATTTTCGACGAAAATTACAAATTTTTCGGCGTTTTTCTAAGTTTTCTAAATGGTTTTTCGAATTCGAATATTGTCAAATTTTACTAAAAACACTATTAAACTACATGCTATTATAATACTAGGCGTTATATTAAAAATACCCTCCCCCGATAATGCCAAAGAACCACAAAACGATGCTCTTTAAGTCAATTCGCCGCCTAACCATCACCCCGATGCGCATCGATTCTGACGATTCTGTCGAGCTGGACGACGACAAGAAGGGATATAACGTTTCTGAGTACGAGATGGAGCGCAGAAAGGTTGGCTAGTTTTGTATTTTGTAGTGATATCGTGTTTCTTCTTTAAAAGTATAATTTTTAAACTCTTCCAGCTCCTCCGCCGTGCCTCCATCGTGTTCACCACCTTTGCCGGCGTCAGCGGCGTGGTGGCGGTGATGATCCTCGGGAATATGATCCTCAAATTATAGCCGGGTTTCCGCGAAAATTGACTGAAAAATCAGTCGATAAATATTTATTGCAATCAGAAGAGAATATACCACGTTTTGGTCGAGATCACAGCACCCGTATCAATGCGGAACAGGGGGGAAATTGACAATTTTTGGTGGTTAGGAAAACGGTGCTTTGGCATTATCGGGGGAACGTAATAGCGTTTTGAGCGGATTTAAGCATATTTCCAGTTGATTTTTGCATTTTCTCGGAAAAATCTGCTACGTTTTTCGTTTAGGAATAGTAAAAAAAATCGTTAGTTTAGAAATGCTTTATATTAAACTAGTTATCATAGATTATTATAGATATTAGAAAAATTCATTCTTAGGAATAAGACGCGTCCCCCCGATAATGCAAAAGCACCACAAATTGTGCAAATTACAAAATTTTTGTAAAATTATATGAGTCCGTGGACTGGGACAAGTTTTTGGGCTTCATTACTCGAGGACTTTCGACTGGAAATTTCCGGTTGAGAGGAGGAGCGCCGGAGTGAGCATCGGCGAGAAGAGAGAGCGGATGTCGACGGTTCTTCTCGTCTTGCCACCTAAAAGATACATTAAAAAATTTTAGAACGTGTAAAAAATGCTATGTAAAAGGCACTGGTTTGTTAGCGGGGGGGGGGGGCAGCAAAATTCTTAGTTTTTTATTTTGTATTGTTAACTCTCCATAAATTTTTAATACGGAAAGTCATAGATGAATCACCCGCAAATTTACGAAATTCCATTTTTTGGCTTGTTTCGATTTACATTTTGACCAAAAATTAAAAATGGCGAAAACTTTCATAATTTATAAAAACTTTCGGTGCTTGAAAGCGGCGTAATATAAAACACGTAATTTGTCTAAGCTTTAGGGCGATAAACAAAAATTACCCCCCCGCTAACAGCGCAGTTCCAGAACAACTGGACTAATCCTAAAAATACCTGCATCCGGCTCATCGGTGCCATCTTTGCGCTGACGGCTCGCCGGGTTGTCATAAAAGCCGGTGAACTGTTGACACGACAACTGAATTGCAACGGCTAAACTCCAGATAACCCCCCAGCCGACCCCCACCTACCGTATCTCGGCTCCCTGTTCATCTACAGGTGTGTAAAGTATACCAAAATACTCGCCAGAGCAAGGCGAACATTTTGGTATACTTTACACACCTGTAGATGAACAGGGAGCCGAGACACAAAAAGTTGGGTGAGGGCTGGGGGTTATCTGGAGTCTTACCATTGAAACAGTAAATATCAGACATGGCAATCGGCCGGGCCGCGCGGCTTTTTCGGCCGCAAAGATAAATCGATATGTAAATGAGCCACTTCCGGTTTGCGGCTTGGCCGTAGCGGCCCGGCCGAGCCGCGATGAAATGCGACTCGGCCGCGAAGCCGCAGTTCCGGAAGTAACTAATGACTGCGGCTCGTAGGGGGGCCGCGTTTTTTATGGAAATTAGGCCGCCGGCCCAGCCGCGCGGCTCGGCCGATCGGAATTGCCATGTCTGGTAAATAGCCAATTTAACTAAAAGCTACCTCTGCATGGCGAATGTTCGGCTATTCTTCAGGCCAGGGAAGAATTTCCCGGTCAACGCTCTCCCAGAATCGTCCGGCAAAAGGCGGCGCGGAATTTCTCGGAGAAAATGTTGTAGAGAATCGGGTTACAGGCAGAGTTCGAGTAGTAGCAATATCCTAAAATATAATTTGTACTGGGCTGTTAGCGGGGGTGGGGCTGTCAATGTTCTTACATTTGGACATAAAAGTAAAATTTTTCGACATTTTTAGTGTTTTTATGAGCGCAAAATTCTATAACAATGGCTTAGCTTTTGTTATAGCTTGGGATTATTGAGGAAAAATCGCCGCCCTCCCCCCGTTAACAGAAAAGTGCACGCCGTCCCCTCTATTTTCCTTCTGAGGCCCACCTGAAATGTAGAAAACAAGGGTGAAAAGCGTTTGGACGGCCGCCGACGCATCGCCTTGTCGCTCGTTGAGGAAAATGGAGAGTAGCCTTTGCATGTGGAATGGAAGCCAGAACACGAAGAAGGTGATCACCACCGACACTGAAAATGCTGATTTCCGGTTTTTTCGCGCAAAACTTACCGAGCACCCTCAACACACTCCATTTATGGCTTCGACCCTTCTTCTCGCGACCGAGCTGCGACTCGGACAGGTGCAACCGGATAGCGATATGCCCGTACATGACGGTGATGATGATGGCTAAACGGCGGAAAGGATAGATAATACATAACTTGTCGCCTACCCGGAAGTAGGAAGAAGCCGATAAAGGACAAGTAGATGATCTCCTTTTGATCTTCAAGGTTGTCAATGTCCATTGCGCAAAACTCGGTTCGATCGATGGTTTTCCCATCGGCGGAGACCTGAATCGGGTAATTTAGATCCTTTTTTTGAGCATTTTTGAACATAACTTTCCAAAAGTCGTATTTTCAAACGGCTTGGAACTTTTTCCTAATGATAGGTAGATGAAAAATCTGGTCCCACTTCGCAATTTACGCTTTCCCAAAACCGCACTAAAAAGTTAGTTTTGTGTGTTTTTCAATTCTCTGTAACCCACAAGATGCGTCCAGGTCTGATTGACGGCAAATTCAGGCAATGGCAACTTGTTGATGCGCACGACAAAGACCACAGGAAGTGAGCAGAGGCAGGAGACAACCCAGCAGCCGCAGATCAGACTCAACGTCCTCCGGGTGCCCAAGAAAAGTTGGGCGCGAAGCGGGAAGCTAAATTCATTATTTATTGTATTGTTTCTATAACGACTTTTTGATGTTTCGCTTATTTTAGGTACTGAACTGTTAGCGGGGGACTATCTAGTCTACCCAGTAATTTTTTGCGAAAATATCGTACTTGGTTTCTGGGGCAAATCCTCCCCGCTAACGGTCCAGTACCCGTTTTTACGCAAATGATTTTTCCACCTTACCAAATAGCGATCCATCGCTCAAATGAGAAGAGACAAATGACGAGGATGGAGGCGTAGGAGGTGAACTCGACGAGAAAGGCGCGCGCCTGGCAGATGGCCTCCCGAAACGATAGGGATAGTTGTAGTCTGTCACGATGTAGAGTTCCATCGGAAGGCCTAAATATACAGATCTTCTACAAGGAAGAGCAGGACTTACCAAGAATTAGGATAAGAATGTCGCTGAGCGCCAGACTGAGCAAGTAGTAGTTTGTCGGGTTGTGCATATTCTGAAAAAAATTAATTAAGAAATAGAAACAAAAATAAAACAAAATCAATGGCATATGGTTTAGAAAAATACCTTATTGACGATGATGACAATGCATGTGCAAATGTTGCCAACGAGCCCGAGCAGCAGAATCAACCCGTAGATGACCACCGTCGGGTACATGATTGACGGCTAAAATGGGAAATTATCCATTAGCGGGGGATTTGATCAGCATGTTCGGAGAAACAAGACCCCCGCTAAGGAACAAGAACCAACCCCCCCGCTAACGGACCAGAACCGAAATTCAAAGAAACAGATGCTTGCCCCCCCAGCCCTCGCCCGCAAACGAACTAGAACCAAAATTCAAATAAAAGGCGGTTAGCACCCCCCCCCCCGCTAACGAACAAGAACCTAAATTAACGGAAACAACAGTTACCCCTGGTAACTGAACAAGAACCAATGTTAAATGCAACGGCCGTCGCCCCCCGTTAACGAACCAGAATCAAAACCCGAAGAATTAAGCGATAGAAATAACATACCGACGGGCATCTCTCACCCATCCACGACAGCACCAAATAGGAGATATTCGAGTCGGCGTATTCCGGGAAACATTCTCCGCCTATCCCTGCCGGCTCCATCACTAAATTTGAAACTTTTTCGAAAATCACGCTCCAAAAAAACGTCGAAAAATTGGGAAAAACGTGAAAAGGTTATGGATAAAAGCCGGGGGGTCATCATAACGCGTGTTTTCCCGGCTGGGGGGCGCGCAAAGCCGGAATTAGCACGATTAGTCGTTGAGCCCTTATAGCAGCAAGAAGGCTAGTCTGATTTGAACGAGATAAAGGCCAACATTCCGCTATCCGTTAGAAAATGTAAAAGAAATGAAAATAAAGGAAAAGATCAAAAGGAATTCGACATTTCGGGAGGATCTTTTGCAACATCGAGGGGGCTTTTTCTTTAGTATCTGATTTTTTGCAATATAAATAGAAGAAATGTTTCCCCACTCTTTTTGACTATTATGAAACGCAAAAATACGCACCTTTTGATTAACGAATAAAAACAACAAAATTATCGAATTTTGACGATATTTTAGAGTTTTTAGATTCGTTTCCACCTGGAATATGGTTAAATTTTACTTAAAACACGATTAAAAATAGTCACTATTAGAATTCTAGGCATTTTTGGATTTAAAGAGAAAAATTCAGTTTCCCTCCCCTGATAAACGCCCCCCCCCCAATAATGCAAGAGTTCCTAGAAATGAAAAGAAGCCAAAACAAAGCATGGAATTGAATGAAGAAGAAAATTAGGAAAAAAGTGATAAATACTTAAAACCGGGACTTTAGCGTCTATTGGAGCGGCAGGCCACCTATATCCGAGTACGACACATTACTACGTACAGGTACACTCTATGCGCGCGTTGGATTTAGCCCAAGATTTGTTGATTTTGGCACGTGACTGTCTCCTTTAATTTCAACAAAACTAAATTAAAAATGAAAAACCGCGCGCAATTCTGCACTCAGCAAAAGGCCGTGGGCTCCCATTGTGGGCCCCACTGCGGATATGGGCCATCAAAAATTGTAGAGGAATGGGAAGAAGGAGTGTGGAAAGCCAGCCTGGGGCCCCGGATTTGCCTGGGAATACTTCCTGCTTGCCCGGAATTTGGCCCGGAAAATGAACACATCGGGGCCGAGGGGGCTGGAAATGATGCCCAATCGGGTGTCACCAACAGAGTTCAATCTATTAAACGCTGACGCGGGGGAATTCTTGGCACGACCAAACGAGATTGGAGCCAAAATGACGACAGCAAAACACTAATAGGCCAAATGCCGACAGACGAAAAACCTGACAAAGCATAATCCCGACAAGGTAAATTCCCCGAAGGCCCCATCCCGACAACCAAAATCTTAACTGGTCAAAATCCCGACGAACATCATTCCGGCAGCCAAAATTTGATGGGCAGAAATGTCGACAGGCCAAAAGCCCGACAGAGAAAAATACCGACAGTCGAAAATGCCGACAGCGAAAACCCTGATAGACCAAAATCCCGACAGGCCAAGATCCTGGAGAAGCAGAATACCGACATCCAGAACTCACAACAGGCCGAAATCCCGACAGGCCAGGATCCTGAGAATCAAAATGCCGACAGGCCAAAGCTTGACCGCCATAATACCGACAGGCCAAAATAGTTCTTTAGATTGGAGGTGGAATTCAAACTAGAGTCGAGAATATGTCGGGATTTTGGAACTTGGAATTTTGGCTTGATGGGAT